GTATTCAACTACAGAAAGGAATAAGGGAAGACAAAAGCAGAAAAACACTGCAGAAAAACACTGCAGAAAAACACCTGCATTTATATGATCATGAAGCAGAGGAGGGATTCAGGGGCGATGGCAAGGGAAGAGTAGAGCAGATTTAGCCTATGATCCAGAGAACAACAGAAAAATAAAAACCAAAACCGTAAAGAACTTCTACAATCACCTCCACAGCCTCCCAGTATTGGACATACTGAATGTTCAAATGCTTTTTCATTGCTACTTCATGAATGGCATCATAATCATACAAATGATACACCACATTTAATACATCAATATAATTAAACAACTGTTGGAACAATGGCCCAAGCTCAAAATTTGAATATCAAGTAGATTACTCATAGGTTTTGTTTGGAGTGGTTGGTTTTTTTCAGTTACACATATTTGTTACACAGAAGGTGAATATGCATGTGTATGAATGCCTATATATATATATACACACACACACACATGTAATCATGTCTGTGTGTATATATACACATGTATATATATGTACATGTATACACTATATCTTCAAGTTAGAACAGAAGACTGTCATTGGCTGCTTGCTGACAAGCTACATTAAATCCGATTTAAATAATCACATACAAAATATTCTGCACTTATTCTAGTTTATTTCCTTTTATAATACATAAGTTTTAATCACCTTTTGAAGTGGCAGTATATAGTGTTATTTTTCAGCTGTGGTTAGCTTTCATGTTTAAAGACTTCTGACAGGGAGCTATTCACCACCACTGCTTTTCATTTAGTTCTTCTGATGGTAAAGAGCAAATACAAACTTCCATCATTGTCCAAGACAGCAGCTTCCACAAGGAGAAACAGCAATATACTTAATATATGCTTTGAAATGGGAGAACTAGTTAATATACTTACATACCATGAAATGGAATAAATTCAATCCCCCTATTCTTTATGGTTCAACAAATCAAGGCTGGAGTGGCAAGAATTCAAAAAACAAGAATATCTGAAGGAAGAATGGAGTGTGAGGTGGAACAGAAAAAAACAATTATGGTCTAACAACCTTCATAAATTCCTCAACTGGACAATGTTTACATAAAGTCCTGCCACACAATGTATTCAGCTCAGCACTCGAAGCATAGAGAGTACTAACTGAAAACTAGTTCTTCACTGGATTCACTGTTTGGTATTGACTTACTGGACATTTTGCAAACAGATAGGATTTTGTTTCATTCAGAGCTGATGGTGGTTAGCAGAGAATCAATCCCAGAATCAGTGGTGTTAGGTCTCAGGTACTACAGTTCACCTTTTAATGTGGAATCTGATCAGGTTTGGTACCATAAAAAACACGTTCACAAAACTGCAGGCCCAGCATAGAAAGAGCAGGCTAACACCTGCAGGCGAGGTATCAAGGATTTGCACTGAAGTCCAAAGCCAAGGAAGTAAATTTGGGAAAACTGAAGGAAAGATGTTAGGTGCTGTATCATATAAAAAGTAATAGAGAACAGAAAAATATTCAAGGAAAGTTAATATGGAAGGGTGGCTTTTTTCTTGTGTGGAATTACACCATTATTACTTCTTGTTATAACCATTGCTTTATTCCTTTTCATAACATTCACGAAGAATAATCTTCATGGCTAACTTAGAACACCAAACCAATCTCTGCAACAGTACTAAAATGTACAATTCATGTTTAAATCTTCATAGTTTTAAAGTTATATATATTTTGTAAACAGTTTAATGAATAACGCAGTTCAAAATTGGTGCCCTCTATGTATTGTAATTACTTTTAGTTGTATTTTCTATCAGAAAATAACATCAAAAATTAAATGTTTTTTTGAAAGCTCCGAAACATCAGTGCCATAAATATGCTTGCTGTTACACTATTTTTAAAGGTGGCTCTGTAATACCCATGTACTGACACAATGGTTCATAGTTCAAGTAAAATACAAACAGAAATGTAAGACCAATTTACAGCAGCACACTGTGATTTCAATTTTGCCTTTTTTTTTGTTTCAGTGACTGAAATTCAATTAAGTATAGTGATGATAATTTGAGGAAATGTCTACATATGCATCGTAGCATACAATACTGGTAGAAGTATTCTACTAGTAAGTAGAATATTCATTGTAGTAGTATTAGTATAGAGGTTTTCTTTACTTTCACGTTTTAGTGTCTATATCTGACACTCTCAGAGTTTAGCCAAAAAAAGAAAAAAATTAGTGCTAATGTTTTCAATTTAATTAGTATATTACATGCACTGTAATTATTAGTGGGAAATGTTATATTAATGAATGTGAAAGTTAGCTGTAAATTACCTCGGAGTTATTATCAATTTCCCAAGTTACTGCTCCTTAAGATCACCGCCTCCCTATGGTCCTTCCGGTAATTTTTCTTTGCCTGATAAACACGATGATTAAACAGCACACAGTGCAAACCTTTGATACTTTTTAAATTAAATTCATGCCCAGCCTAAGGGCTGTGTCTGATTTCAACTAAATGTGTCAGTTAATCAGATAAAAAATTATCAGCAACTCAAAGAAACAGCAGCCTTAGGCTTCATCAGTGCCAGAGAAAGCTGAACAAAATAAGACATACAGACAATATCACATTATCAGTAAAGGTTACTGCTAAGCATATCACTGCAAAGAACTATTTACCACCTTAATGATGTTTAACTTAAGAAATATTGCATAAAATAGCCAAAATAATATCCAAGAAAGAAAAAGGAAGTGCTAGAGCCTATATATGCCTGTTCATGTGAATTGCAAGAAAATTTGAACAAACCCACTCAGAAAAATGCAGAATATACCTAA